TTAATGTATTTATTTGTACATCAAATCTGGCAGGAGAAAAAAAAAAATGATTTGTTTCTTGTCAGCATGTGGTCATGAAAAAAAAAAAAAACTTAACTCACTGAAGACCATTTATTTTCACTGTTTTTATGTTTGGAGCATATTAACTGTTTCTCAAGTTTGAGTTATGTTGTTATTTTACATGTTCACATAGATTTAATTTATTTTACTTATCAGCGAAAATAGCTAAATTAAAACCCAGAAAATAATTAATGTATTTATTTGTACATCAAATCTGGCAGGAGAAAAAAAAAATGATTTGTTTCTTGTCAGCATGTGGTCATGAAAAAAAAAAAAACTTAACTCACTGAAGACCAGATACAAATGTTCTGTACCCATCCAAGGCGTGCAATGTTAGCAATTCTAGTTGGTTTTACTTGTATGCGTTTGATCTTCATAAAAGTAGGTATGCCTGCCCCTTATTTCAACTGAAGAATAACATTGAAGTGGAAGTTACTAGAGAAACTGACTGTGGTGGAAATAATTGATGTTATTTTTTGTTTCTTTGTCATGTTGTTCTACTCTTCCCATGTTAATCCAAAAGAGTGTCAAATGACAGTATTTCTACCTTATAAAAGTCAAGTCAAAATGACTTACAAGATTGTTCCTGATTGGCTACACTACCCTTAACACCTTAAAGTTGAGCCAATCAGGAAGCAGCTTATTTGTTGACAGGCTCATTGAACAAATTAAATCATGTCTTATGTAAATGCATTTATGCATCTATCCTTTCTATTTATGATGTCCTGGAAAAATGTTGTACATTTCCGTTTGTAGTTTTACAGTAAAGTAAGTTGATAGACTTGTAATTAAGCACATGATAGCAATTTTGATGCAAGAAATCTTATTTTCACTTTTTACAGATTTTCTGCAGCAGACCAGTCAAGGACGGCCATTGTCTTTCCAGTGGGTTGAGAGATATAGACTTTGTATAGAAGAATCACAGCAGTCTGGGACCAATGATCTCTTTGGGTTCGATAAATTCCAGCCTGCAAGCACTGCACAACCACACACAGTGGAAAAAACTCCACCACCAGCACAACAAGGTAGTTTTTCTTTCGTTATCATTTTTTGCCAAAATATTCCCCGAATGTAGAATCTAAAGTCACCTGCAGTGATAGACTTATTGGTTATTCTGTACAGGTTATGGACTAGTATCATGGGATATTCTTGATGTTATGAATATGCATGAATTGCTGAACATATTGAGAATCAGCTTCTTTCTGAATTAACCAAGACTTATAGGAGATATGATTCTTCATTTCACATACATTGGAATCATAAGCACTGATAAAAAAAATTGAAACTCTGCCAAAAATCAACAGGAGCTGAAACAATTTTCTACATTGTTTGACTATTAATAACATATTTTGTGCATATTGATATCATCAGTAAATATTCCAAAACACAATTAAACTTGAAAATGGCTCCGCAGAGTACAACTTTGAGCACTGTTCAACTTTTCTGTAATTTTCACTGAATTCAATCTTAATTTTTGACCAAACAGACAAAATGTTTTGATCAAACGTTTGAGATTTCATGTGAAAAAAAACCCAGATATTAATAGAATTTTTTTGTGGAGGGGTCAATACAACTCCAAAATGTCAGTTGACAAATTTTGCATTGTGGGAAATATTTTAATAAAAATTACTTTTATCTGTATTTTCAAGTATAGAAGCACTATTACGATAATTGCATCCTAAATAATAATAATTTAAATAATCAATAATATTGTCTACTTTAGATTTTAATCTCTTCGACCTTTGACCTCTGCATCCTTGTTTTATTTCCTATCTGTGGGTCCTATTACAGATTGGCCGTGGTCTAATATTATCTCACTGAATACTGACGCCGTTACTCCTGTTGTTTGTAAGTGGTTGTTCTCTACTAATTCTGTGTTTTAATGATAGTAAGCTTTACTCGCACTAATCCTAAAATCTGCTTCTAGTTTTAATATATATACGTGTATTCACTATCTATTCACTATATATATTTGCATTTCTCATTTGCTTTGTTTTTTAAATGCATTGTCTCTTCCTGCTAGACTAAATGTTGTCAACCTTAGTCAAATGAATTCCTTAAACAAAAACTAGCAGGTCTTCCCATCTGTCCATTTGTCCGTCTGTCCATTCATCCATCTGTCCGTATATTTGTGTATCTTACTCAGAGATGAATTAATACCTGAATTAACATCCAGTGTTCCTCCTAGGTAAATGTCCAAGCATGGCAGCTAATTTGCATATGTATTTTTAACCATATAAATAATTAATAAATCACTAACTATTCCTTTTCAAGCATGGCATTTCAGTGGCCAAGCATGGTACTGTTAAATACTTTATTTTAGCTAGAATTAATTTTCGCTGAACTGATTTTTGATGAGTTGAAATAGGAAATAAGGTATCTTCACTAGATTTTATTTTTACTGAATCATTACTCCAGCGCAAATAGTGGTATCAAGTATTTTACAGTAAACTGATAAGCACCATATTTAAAAGTCCTAGGAGACCATTGATGTCATTTAATAATGCACAATGTGCGGGACATAACATAGTTCTACATTTCTCACATTACCTCTTCTTGAGTCGGAAGATGTGGCCTGGTGATTGTGATTGTGGTGGTTATATATTTTTGAAAACTGTGTAAACTGAACAGTTCACAGAAGTGTAGCGCACATTTACCATATCATTAAATACAATAGATGAGGACAAAAAACGTTATTTACAGAGGCTGTTTCATACCAGGAAATATATTACCCATGTTGGTATCGGTATTGTCGACACAATAACTTGCAGTACAAGTTTAGATGTATTATTTCATGCTGGGTAAATAAAATTTGCATATTTATCCTATTTATAGAACATCATTATTAGATACATACAGTACAGTACAGTACAGTTGGAGCGTAACTTAATATTTAGCTAGCTGTTAGTTGGCTTGCGTTCAAAGTCAATGTATATCTAAATTGTACAGTGTATCTGCCTAATTATGTCTAATATTTGTAACTTAGGTAAATACTTAAAAGAATAAGTTAAAATTACTGATGACAATAATACTCGATTTTATTGTTTTTATGAAACGCAAAGCCAGCACATCGCCAACTTAGGAGTTTATATACTCAAATGGTATGGTATGTGACTGTACGATTCATTTCAGATCCTGATGATCTCGCTTTTGAGGATAACTTTGCCGATCTTCGTGTCAGTCAGATCGACAGTGGCTCAGAAGGTCCACCGGGTCTATCTCCTGGCATGAGAGAAAGTCAAGGATCAAGTTATGGATCAAGAGAAAGTTTTACAACATCGTAAGTTGGACAGTTCAATTCAGTTCATTGTGTATTGCGTTGTGTCAGTCATCAGTAAAAGCATAGTTCCTATTCTAATCACCTGATGTTGTAGTTTAATTAATTAATATGCATCCCTTGTTGTTCCTAAATATATATGAAGACCCAAGTTGTCTTTTCGGTCAAAACATAAATTATAAAAATTATAAAAAAATTTAAATATTATTTAGGAGGAAATTATAATATATTTCTGTGATCTCTGGTTGCATGACTCAGGATGTCAATTTCCCTGGGTTTTATATCCAGACAAAACAATTCTCAACTCAATTTCCTGGTAAATCATTCCATTCGTGTTAGCAATACCAAGGAAATGTCGATACTAAAGACAGCAAATAGTGAGTTAGTACTATTTTACGTGAATCCATCAGTGACATTTGATAAAAATTAATAAAATCTTGTTTCGATGTCCAGAAATTTCTTGTTTATAGAGAAAATGGTATTTCGTTTATATTTTTGTTTATAGAGAAAATGGTATTTCGATTATATTTTTGGTTATAAGTTAGCAGACTTTTTCGAGACAATCAACATTTTTAAAATGTTGGGGTTAATAAAAAAAAATGCGATCTTTTTATTTTCTAAAATTAATGTCCGCAGATTTTTTGTTCTGAAATACATGTGGTCAGAAATTTCTCTTTAATTTTTTGACAAATATGCAGTGACCAAAAATATGAAATTTTATTTCAGTGCATTCAAATTTTGTTCTGTTCTTTGGACCAGAGATTCACAGTACTTTGTGACACGCAATCAAACTACCAACAGTTATTTGTAGAAAATTGAAGGTTTTACTGGCTGACCTTGCAGGTGTCTATTCTTTACTACATGCCATTATGTATCTGTGGGTCACAGTTTCACACCCAGTCTAACTCATAATGTGTGCATTATATGAATAATTAGTAAAGGTATATTTAGACTACATTCGTACAAATGACAGGGTACTACAATATTCTTAATATATTTATTTTGGAAAGCCCATTTACAGGCTCCATACATGCACAACATACTGCAATATTATACATTAAAGTGGCATTCAGCCTTCGTAATGTTGTTGTGTGGATTAAACCTTTGATGCTTACTGAATTAAAGAATTAAATTACTATATATATCAAATTCTGAGTGAGTACGCAATAAATTATTGAAATATGCATCTGACCAGTGGAGAAATTTAATTATATTATTACGGCAGCACGGCAAACAATATGAAGAGGTAAACTGTAATGTATGATTTAGTAAAAATGTAACTTTGATAAAATGATGAACTATTTACACATATAAGAATAACATATCTATAAACAATTCTAATACAGTGTTAAAAACCCCAAATAAGCACATCATGTTGAGTATTTATCAAAATCATATTTGGGTGCTATCGATAGCGCGGATATTTGAACAAATTTTGCTGTACTGTTTTAATTGAGTTTATGTCACGGATTCCACTAAACTGATCATTAATCCAAACCTTGAAGTACTAATTATTTTAAAAAGTTTATTAATTGGCTTAATAAAGCCAAGCATTCCAAGAGAATTTTTACAATATTATCAATACAATCATTAAACGTCAAAAATACACCAAGGTCATTGACCGCATCAACCCTAGAAAATAGTACTATATGTATTTCATATCTGTCTGCATTCAGAGATATTGTTAATTTTAAATATTTTAGCATCATTTGCATATAGCAAGCTTAATAATAATAATATAATAATAATAATATTTATTGCATCTTTAGAAATATAGTACTTCTATCAGTACAGTAGCAATAAATGTATAACAGTATAATGTACTTGTTGTATTTCATGTTTGTTTGTCATAATTGACATATTGTAACCTTAATCGAAGCAAACAAAATTTTGTCAAAGAAATTTGTGCAAAGCTTAGTTCTTAAATCACTTATAATTGTGATTAATTATTCATGAAGATCGAACAAAGAAAGAAGTAATGAAAACATAGAATATAGACAACCATATTTGTCACTGTAATGCTCAGTTGAAATATTTGTTTTTTGAAAGTGCTTTGTTCAGGTAGTACATGACCCTGGGACTTGTCAGGGCAAGAGTTCCTTTTGTACCCCCCATCCCTAACCTTAACTCTAACACTCACTTCCAGTTACCCAATGTATTTGTATATGCCCCTTCTCCTCTAGATAACTATAGATGTCCTTAGGAGGGGCATGTACAATTAAATGGGGAGTTCTGGAGGGTAGGGTAGGGTTAAGGTTAAGGTTGGGGTTAGGGATGCGGGGTACAAAAGAAATTCTTTTCCTCGCCGCAAAGTGACGCAAAACCGTTTCAAAACATGTTCACATTTGATCAGTTTTTGATGATGTTCTGCAGTCATGACATTTCTATTTTAGGTGAATAAGTAATTGTTGTGAATGATATTCTATTAGTTGCGGGTATTCATGTAACTAATGAAACTGTCAGGACTACACGTTTTTTTTTTGACGTATGTCTCAGGAATTAAGAGCGGTTTGCAAATTAAGAAGATTAAATAAAGCTTCAATTTGTTTATATTTTAATGACAAATGAGTTCCTGTAAAATACTTTATTTTTGTTTGGAATTAATTTTTGCTATTTTCGTTGAAGAATAATTCAGTGAAAATAAAATCTAGTGAATATACCTTTTTTCCTATATTTTACATTAAACTTGTCAAAAATCAGTAAAAAAAAATTCCATACAAAATACCCAAAATGTCTTTTTAGCGAAAATTAATTCCAGCTAAAATAAAGTATTATACAGTATGTCAATCATATTACAAAATGCATTTAAAAAGCATACACTAGTTTCTTTCCATGGAGATGTTATGAAGTATCCACTGTGTACCTCATAAACAACCATTTTTATAGAGAACTAATTTTTTTTTTTCCAGATTTTCTGAACATAATGTTATGACCCCTAAAATAGTTTTAATGTGTTAGTGTTCTTATGTTTTTATGCTCATGTGATAGAAAGAAGAAGTGTTTTCTCAACTTTTATTGTTCCATCACTTTCTGAAAAAAATGTTACAGAAGTGTTCTTATGTTTTTATGCTCATGTGATAGAAAGAAGAAGTGTTTTCTCAACTTTTATTGTTCCATCACTTTCTGAAAAAAATTTAAAAAATGGGCAGGACACAAACAATAGGCTAAAAACAAAATAAAAGGGGCTAGTAGTAGTCAACACTACTAGTAAAATATAACCAAAATAAAAAATAAAACAGGACTTAGCTTAAAAAAGGGTGAACACGACGTTTCAAATGGGCAAGCCAATTCTTCTCCAGGTGAAAGAAAGGAGAACAAGAAGAATTGCAGAATTCAAATAAAGTTTCTATAATTTTAAACTTTATGATTTTAGTACAAATTGAATGTACCAGTATTTAAATTATAATAAGACCTTCTATCTCTGATCTCATTATTAGAAATGTATTTTAAAGAATATAAATTTATTCTCCCTTACATATGGATATAATGTTTGTGTCGTCAAAATATGTACTTAGTTTAACATTAGCCACTTAGAATCTAGAGTTTTGTACAATAATTTTGGGTGGGAAAGTATCAATGACTCTTTGTGAGTGAACGGTGCAGGGTTTGATATGTAAATATATGTCACTGTGTGTGTGATATGTGAAGTAGGTAATTTATTAACCGCTGGTCGTTTGATATGCTAATTAAACCGCATACATTATAAATGGCATTTGTGAATCATTGTCATGTTGTTAATATCGCACAAGCTTTTGGACGTTGGTCATTCCTATCTTCAAATTTGTTGGATGTTGGCTTTGATGCGTGTCAACTGTACATATAGCACAGGTATTTGTCGTATGTCGTGTATGATGTGAAGTGCGGGAACTGTTTCTCGGCCAGTGTAATGTTTGATTTTGATGTAAATACCAGCGTGTCTCTGAATCAAAACTCAATTCCGTATGATAAACAAGTACATGTAATAACAAATGCATGAGAATAAGGATGCCAAATATGTCCATTAATAATAAGACAAAGATTGGTTTGTCAAATTTTTAAAAGTGTTCATTACCTCAAAATTGTAACATTTCATATTCGTGTCATTTTATAATGCACATGTGTGTTTTTCTGTTCTTTATAAAATCTGCATTTCAATGAACAGAGTACTGTAGAATACTTTATTTTCACTTGGAATTAATTTTCACTATTTTCACTGAAGGAATGATTCAGTGAAAATAAAATCCAGCAAATATATCCCTTTTCCTATATTTTAAATTAAAATTGTCAAAAATCAGTAAAAAAATAAATTCAGCTAAAATATAGTATTTACAGTACCGTATACGATATGTTATTACTTACTTTAAATATATATAAGCGATGGGCATTGGAAAGTCATTTGTTAACAATGTAACAGTCAATAGTAATAATACAGAATAATACAAACAAGAATTTCAAGTACCAGTCAATTATTTGCTCTTCCACTTGTATAAACATTATTTATATTTTTTATTCTTTGACCTTTCCCTCTTAACTTGAATGACAGGTGTTTTGATTTATCTTAAAGGGTAACCTTCCAAGCCTAGGGATTGCACCAAAGAATCATGGGACACTATTGTTTATGTTGTTTACAAAGTTAATCTATCTTTTGTTATCCATTGTAATTTTAATCCAGAAAGTAAATTTGTTGTGAGATTAGGCTTAACTGGAAGTGCCCCTTTAAATAATAATGATAGCTTTATTACAATGATAATCACACAGTCTACACAAAGACATAACAGTATAGGTCAATGTAACATCTATTTTTCTGATCCAGCCCCTGTGTGTATGGATTCCTAGAACTGCACACTCAGGTGAACATAAGTTCCTCATTATGAACTTTTTTTGCCTGCTCTCTTGGAGATATCTCATAATCATTCCACATTTGAAAATTCTTGTTTCTAATATAAATATAATAGAAAATAATAAAAAAAAAAACATGCTCAGTATTAATATTAAAATATGTGTAATTTATGTTATTTTCTGCCATTGATTTTGGTATGTCTGTGGGGGCTTGCGGCAGACGATGTATTCTCGGGCAGTGGTTGTCCTGACGTGTTGTGTTCCATACAGGTCAAACCGTCCGTAAAATGCATTGAACATATGCTGCTTGGCGACCTTCCTTTAAACCAGTGATATTATAACCCCTGGAAAAAACATAAAAAAATTGACATTATTGCCTTTATTTTGAAATCTTTGTGAAATTTGAAAGTAGCAAATTTGTTACAGGGCCAAAACTGTATTGTTTCATGTCTTTCGTGACAAATTTACATATTTTGTAATTCTATTATTAGTGATATAATTAGCATATCAATAACTTTAATTTGAGTGTGGAGATACTACTGTACTTAAATGACCCCTATTGACCTAAGCAAATATTTTTTTATATTTCCAAATAGGAGTACAGAAGAAAACCTTGTTGACGTCGGTAGTGGCAGCGTAACAGGCGTGATGAAAACGATGGGATCAGCTGTAAGGCCTGTTGGCGTTCGGGACGGTATTGTCAAACTACACATGTCAAAACGAGAATCGGAATTCACTGTTTTGAAACCATTCAGGTCAGTAAGATTCTAGTCATTGCCATGGTAATCAAATGACATGACTGGGTCAGAAATGAGTGCAGGGGTGTATGGGAGTGAGGTGGGGGAGAGGGGGGGGGGGTTGGTGTTGGAGGTGTGGTTGAGGGTTTTTGTATTTATGTTGCAATATGATGCAGTAAATGCTGGAGTGTACTATATTGCTGAAAAATAACACACTATAACCAAATTTAACAAAAACAATATTAAATGCATACCTAATTTGCATATCAATATTAAACTGGTGTCGTCTATCATAAATTTTATTTTTCATATCTATGACAATATTATAAAAGAAATGTTGAACAAAACTGTAATCCATGGATTTGGTCAAAAGAAAGAGAAATCAGAGCAAATTACACAAACTAAGAACAAATATCTGTTATTGGGAATACAAAATCTTCTACTGATGAAAGAATTTGACCCCTTGAGTGCAAAATTAAAAAAATTAATTGTTTCCATTTACAAATTTTAAACCAAATTTTTTTATAATTTTTCGAATATTTTGATCAATACTTGTAGCCAACAGGAAATTATCGAAAGAATTTAGAAAATAACATAAAAATAGGCAAAATGTAGCATCAAATTTTGCAGAGAAAAATGACAGCACTTGAAGGGTTGAAAGTTATTTTGTGCTCAAAGTATGTGTCCAAGTTTAGATCATTAGTAAAATATTCTAAATGCTAAATACAGTGTATTTATGCCTATCGTGCAATACTGTAAAAGGGTTAATTATTCACTGGGTTTTAATTTTGCTTATTTCGCTGAATGAAAAATGCGCTAAATTAAAACCCAGTGAATATGTAAAATTTAGCATAGAACACATTATCTAAATGATGAAACTATGAATTTAAAACCCACTGAATATGCCTGAAATGGTAAATCAGTGAAATTTAAATCCAATGAAAATTAGGGACGACGTCAAAAGATCGATGTCGGATGAAAAACTTATTTCCTTTAGTTTGGGGGTGGGGGGTTTTGACCTCAAAAAGTTTCCATTCTACAAAAACGATTTTATTTTTTAATGAAGTCAAAAAAATCTTGGAGTGTTTGTAGTTTTTTTTTTTTCTATCCGATCATGGACAGAAATAACCGAAAAGGGAAAAAAACACAGAAAAATGGTTTGGTTCGAGTGTAAATCTGCGTCAAACGAGGTGCATTTGTAAAATCTTTTTACACCCACCCGACAACCAACTGCTATGCTATACTACTGTCCAATTATCAATTTGTATTTAATGGTGAATGTAGTCTGACGCCATGACCAATATTTATCAATTAAGTTTTAGTGGGGGGTAGGGGGGTTTGGAAAAAAACTAAAGGAATTAAGTTTTTTATCCGACATCGATCTTTTGACGTCTTCCCTTAGTCATTTTACAGTAGTCCCAAACCAATGATTACTTCATAAAGTACACTACATTGTAGGATTTTTATCGGCACATGGAATGTAAATGGTAAGTCATGTGCAGAGGATCTTGGTCCGTGGCTGGCTTGTGATGCAGAGCCACCTGATATCTACGCTGTGGGGTTTCAGGAACTAGATCTGAGTAAAGAAGCGTTTCTATTCAACGACTCGCCTCGAGAGGAGGAGTGGCTCCGAGGAGTTTACAAAGCACTGCACCCAAGGGCCAATTATAAGAAGGTGAGTGATAACAGGCGGTATTTCTGAATAAGATTCAAATGGTATTGAAAAGAATGTAGATTTAAATTTGACTTGGAATTGTAATTTTGATGGAGAATTGAAATTATAAAAAAAAATCACTTTTTGCAAATACCTTTTCAGTTGAAATAAGCTGTACATAACACTTCAAATTAATTGAATAGTAACGAATCAAGCAAGTTGTTTGGAAGGGAATAGCATAAGTTCATGAATGACGACACTGAGCATTATATCATGTAATTAATTATTCATGAAGCTGTTCAAGTCCGACAAACAAATAATTAAGCAAAGACGAATAATGGCAGATGTATTTATAACTTTTGTGGAATAATTTAACATGGTCTTTATTCAAAACAAATCACATCAAAGCTACATTGGGATTGAAAATATCTATATTGTCTGCACATGGTGTTCACATGTCATCTGTTTCATGCACTGAAGTTGTTTTTTTAGGAAGAACTTCCTCATGAAATAAATGGAAATGATTATTATTAGCTTGCTCGTAATGAAGGGAATGGTATATAAGGGGAAAATGTCTGTGTCAGTATTGTTGTTGTCCCCGACGTTAACTTGTTTCTTGTGGTCACAATCATTTTTAAACTTGGATATCATAATAGTGACGATAAAATCTTGTTCATTCATTTAAAGGATGGTGATCCTTGCGCCACACATTGGCAAGATATGGACGCCATATTAAAAAATTGGTAACTTGGAGTTGGGAAAATCACTGTTTGTAACAATGTCGCAATCATAATGTAAACAGTAAAATCAAATTTGTTGTTGTCAATTTTTATTTAAAGACCAGCGATCGCCGTGCATGTGCAACATTTGTGTTGATAAACGTTGATTTTCCCACAATCCAATGTGCTCTTCAAATGGAAATCACAAGTATGAAGTTATCACCTTGGCACGCCATGCACTAATTACCATCGATGACTCCTCTGATACCTTCTAATCACCAAAGAAATTACCTAGTTAAAGCTTAGTAATGTATCAGTTTGTACTCATTGATCAGTACAACAGTCAAAGTCGCCATCTTTGTTTATATGAGACCCATATATTGGACATGCATGACGCGACAACCACTGCTTTTTGAAATATAAGCAATATGATCGTCCTTTTAAAAATTAATAACAGTTTGCGCTATATATTATTGCACATCAGATTGCAAAGTTTAATTTAACTTGAACTTGAGAATTTATTACTGTAATTATTTTTAACTATGAATCCAAATTTGTTATTCTTTCTCTTTTTGTATTTGCTATTCTTTTAGATAAAACTTATTCGTTTAGTTGGGATGATGTTGATTGTATTTGCTAAACATGAACTAGCTTCCTATATCACTGACGTTGCAGCGGAGACAGTTGGAACTGGAATTATGGGTAAAATGGTGAGTAAAATAATGAAAAAGAATTGCATAATTTAACACACTGACTAATGTGATAATGTACTTTCTATTACTGTGAAATACTTTATTTTAGCTGGAATTAATTTTCGCTGAAAATACTTTTTGGGTGTTTTGTATGGAATTTATTTTCACTGATTTTTTGACAAGTTGAATGTAAAATATAGGAAAAAAAGTTTAAATGGATTTTATTTTCACTGAATCATTCCTTCAACAAAAATAAGGTAGAGATAATTAATTCCAAGCGAAAATAAAGTATTTTACAGTATATTTTGTATTTTTATTCCCTGATCAGATGAAGCCAGAAACAGGGATCTACATTTTCACTTCTGTGTGTCTCGCATCTGTATCTCAATCTTGCCTTAATCAAACTTTACACATAACATGTACATCTTAGGATACATATGCATGTGTATTAATTATGTAATCTGATTCAAGATGGCCGATTGATGACTATTATATTGCTAAAAATTCATCATAAAAAAATGGCATTTCTATCATTTTCAAACTAGATCTTGGTCATGCATTGAAGGATTTCACTCAAACTTTGTACATACATTGGACATTGTTTTACAGATTGTATTCTGACTGGCGGTCATTTTGTGTTAATGAGTGCTTTTTCAGAGCCATATCTCTGACAAGCTTTACACATGCTTCGTACATCATGTAACACAAAAATACATGCATGTTTCTCAATCTAATTCATAATGGCCGTGTGGTGGACATTTTAATATTTAAAACTCTTTCAAGTCAAGTACTGTAAAACTATTTATTTTCACTGACATATAATTTCACTATTTTGATGTTTTTAGCATATTCACTGTTTTAATTTCACGAATTTGTCAAGGAAACAAGGAGTTTTAAAAATTTTACTTATCAGAGAAAATAGCTAAATTAAAACCCAGTGCAATGCATTTACAGTATTTCCACCATTCAGTAACTTTGTTGTGAATAGACAAATATTGTTCAAACTTTGTGTATACATTGAATATACCAGTAATAGTACATTGGTGCATTTCATTTTGTAATTTGCACATACAAAAAAAAAATCAGGAGAGACAACAGTGATGCTCAATGATCAGAACTGTTGCCTGGCACAAAAAAATATTTAAAAAAAAAAAAAATATTAAACATTCTTTGGTGTATTTACTTTTAATTACCAAATGATGTCTTATTGTTTTAAAAAACAAATTCTGAGTATCGGCAGAGAGACAAGTAAAGATAATACAACTATAATGACTTGTGTGTTCTCACACATGTATAAGCAGTATTTGTAATGTTGTTGCTTTCATTGTCCGCAGGGTAACAAAGGCGGTGTGGGTGTACGACTTGTCTTTCACAACACCACGTTTGTGTTTATCAATTCGCATCTCGCCGCTCATGTGGAAGAATACGAACGACGAAATCAAGATTACAACGACATTTGCTCGAGAATGTTATTTAAAGACTTTGGATCACCACTACATATATCACAACATGAGTAAGTGTCATCAACGCCTTCAAAACATAAATATATAGTTTTCTTTCTACTGGTATTCCACTGACATGATAGTGTGTGAGTGAGTATAAACACAATCATTTTGTAGACTTTATGAGGATTTAACAATTAAATTCTAATCGTATATAATATTAACAGCTATGTGTTGAAGTCTATCTCAGTGTATCTGTATAATGTGTTCATACCTAGGTGTGCTACAGTGGCAATGGTCATTATTGCTTCAGGGGCAGTGTTTGGTTCAATCCTACAGCTGACTTCATTCATTTTGGGAGCATAACTTGGTTAAATAAACAGGGAAGTGTTGGATTTATGGAGTGTGTTTTGTCACCAGATGTAGCAAGTTAACGGTCTCTAAGTAGTAGAAGACTGCCAATTTGTAACTAGTAGCAAGATGTGTGCCCAGTTTTAGCATTTCAAGTGATTTTACAACATAGGTTCACACATTAGTATAAAAATGTGTACACTATGTGTATGATATTTTATTTTTGACTCCCGTGTGCGAAGCAC